GACATCATCAGCTAAGAGGCAGTGCAGAGATGTTGGAGCTTGCATTCCTGATGACTGTGGGGCTAACACATTGGCTGTGGCCTGCTGAACTCAGCACTCTGATACAGGAGAGACAAATGAAAACCACTTCTGAGGGGAAGCAGATGTTTGTGTCCAATTCACCCAAGACTAATTGATACAGGTACAGTGAAAGAAATAGAGTAAAAAGTCTTTGAAGGAAGAATGATAATTTTTATTGAGCAAAGCAAAATGAATAAACCATTTTCCATTGAGCAGGAGATGTTGCTGTTGTGTAGACAGTGTCTCTCCCAATTGAATTTTTAGCTGAAAAAGGTTAAGCATCAAACATTTATTGCAGAGCAGTTCTTCAAAGCTGAGTCAGAATCAAAGATTCAATGGTGTTACCTATTATTTCTTATTAATTATTACTATCAGTACTAACCTCTTAAAATTTGACAACACTGTCAATTTCACAGCACTTGCATATAAACTACCTTATATCCCTTCATGCATTTAATATTTTTGAGCTCTTAATATGTGCAAATCATTGTAGTAGACAAGAATGGGGGATAAAGCACTGAATGGAATCATAGTATCAAGTGAGGCAAAAAATAGTTACCATTTATTGATTGAGTATTCTGTACGAGATACTGTGTGAAACATTTTACAGGTATTTCCTCATGTAATTTCAAGACAACTTTACGGGGTGATTAGTGTTATCCCTCTGTTTTAAGGTGAGAATTAGTTTAGAGAAATTAAAAACTTACCAAATTAACTCAACTAATAAGCAGAGGAACTGAAATCCAAATCACGGAAATTCAAATCATGAACTATCCGACTCTCTCAAGTCTCCAATTAATTTTAATTCAAAATGGAAAATATTATACATCTGAAAAGCATGTAAAAAATGGTACAAGTAAGAGCTTAGAGATTTATAAAGTATATGTAAAGGGTTTGTGCTCTTTTTCTACAGAAGAAACTAAATCTCAGATAACTTAGTGATTTACCTGACTTGCTTTATTTGTCCCTTATGTTTCAATGAAAGTCATACAAATTATCATCTATCCTCCCCCTCCCCTTTCGTTTCACCCTCTATAAATCCAGGTGCCAGAAATTGGAAAGGACGTGAAAGGGGCAAAGAATGTTCATCTACTGCTGGCAAAAGGATTGTGAATGACAGGGGAATACTAGATCAAAAGGAAAGAACAGTCTTCAGCTTAATCCAATCTACTATTTGTATGATAAATAGTAGCATGCTAAGATAAATAGTAGCATGTAATCTCTGGCAGTTGTTAATGGACAGGGAGGCCTAGTGTGCTGCAGTCCATGGGTCGCAAAGAGCTCGACACGACTGACCGACTGAACTGAACCGACTGAAACATTCTGTGTGACAATGGGAAATTCCCCCTGGAGGAGACTTATGCTCTGCAACTAAATCTTAGAAGAGTCACATTATTCTCTTTTCTTCCATATGGAGCAAGGCATCAGCCCTAGGCCAGCAGTGAGGGATCAAATCTGACTTTAGCCTTATGTAAAGCAAGGCTAAAAAGTGAAAACATATTAGTTACTTCCAATAAAAACTGAGGCAGGGGAGGGGTAGTGGGTCAGGGGAAAGTTGAAGAACAGGAAAATGCACAAGCAACAGAAAAGTCAAACAGGCTTGTCTCATTGAAAAAAATAAATGTATGGGTACCCAGTTAAATCTGAATTTTAGATAAACAATAATATTAAGAATAAGCATGTCTCCAAATCCCAAACATTGATGACTCACAACACGTTGAAAAATAGACAATTTATTGTTTCAAATATTGCATGGCACAGTGATTCATACTTAAAATTTATTATCTGAAATTTAAGTTTAGTTGGGTTATTTTATCTGGTAGCCTTAGTTAAAAAAGAAAAAAAAAAGCAGATAGAAAAATCTAGTTCTTAATTTCAGCTAATAGGGCCTCACAGAGCTTGAGAGACTGGGCCACATTTTTTGTTTATTTGTTCTGAGGTTCCAAATATGGCAAAATGTGAGAAAAAGTTTACAAAGTATATGGAGAGTTTATGTATATTTTTCATTTTACAGATTAACACTTCTAACTCAATGAAAATATACTTTTGCTATTCACTAGAAAATTATAGAATATATATTTTTAAACCATTATACATTTTAGGGACTATAAATATGGATAGTGGGAAACAAATTTAATATTTCAAGTTTCTTTTTTTTTAATTATGAAAGTATGATAACACATTCACAGGGGACTTGGAAAATACAGAGCAAAGTTGCATTATAGTTCTAGTATATATTACAATTATTTTAAGTAGATAAGATTTTTTAGTTGGTGGTTCAATATCAAAATCTCAAAAATTATAATAAATAGAAGATTTATAAAAGTGTATCTCAGTTTGCATTTATTGTTTGGAAGTAATGACAAGGTCTAGAATGGAAGACTTTTCTATAATATTATGTGTGTGCTCAGACATGTCCAACTCTTTGCAACCCCATGGACTATCGCCCACCAGGCTCCTCTTTCCATGGGATTCTCCAGGCAAGAACACTGGAGTGGGTTGTCATTTCCTCCTCCAGGGGATTTTCTTGACCCAGGGATCAAATTGGAATCTCTGGTGTCTCCTAAGTTGGCAGGAGTGAGCCACCTGGTAAGTGCCTACAATATTGTGCTAGGGGTCAAACGCCCCTCTCCTCTCCCAAATGATTGGTTCTCCAGCCGCAGAAGAGGGGCCTGACCAACTGTTTGGAAGATCTTCCTTCTATTTCATTCCCAGGTATAGAAATCATTTCTAGAGGTGGGGACTGTATTCATTTTCTTTGGCTGCTAAAACAAATTTCCACAAACTTGGTGGCTGGAAACAACACACATTTATTTTCATACAGTTTTAGACGCTAAGTTCAAAATCCCTTTCCCGGACTGAAAGTACCGAGCAGGCAGGGCCATGCTCCTTTAGGAGGCTTTGGGGGAGAACCCCTCTCTTGCCTCCTCTAGCGCTGGTGGCACTCGTAGGCTTGTGGCTGTATTACTCGAATCCTTGCCTCTCGCCATACTGCCTCCTCCTCTTCTGTGATGAACGTCTGTCTCCCTCTAATAAGGACATGTGATTTCATTTAGGGCCCACCTTGACAATCCAAGCTAATCTGCCCTCAAGATCCTTAACCAGTCACATGTGCAAAGTCCATTGCTTGCCACATAAGGTAACGTTCACAAATTTCAAGGGTTAGGCTATGGATGTCTTTGGGAGTCATTATTCAGTCCTCCACAGGGGCTGAGGGGATGGCTTGCACAGACCAGGGTCCCTGAAGAACAGAAATCAGTTTGTTGGTGGCCTTAGCCAGGGGTCAGTTTAGGTGGGGTTGTCTTTTTAGACTAGAAAGATCTCCAATCCAACCTTGAAGCCTTTGCTGTCTCACACACCTGAAATCATGAGCCTGAATTGTGGCCCTCACATGGTTCAAATACAGGTTACAGGGTGGGTCCATGATACCCCAAAGACAGCAGTTCTGGTGGTGTCAGGGCCAATCATATGCCATTGTTAATGTAAAATTCTTCTCATTTCATTACTGTCTTTTTTTCCTGCTATGAAACTAAGTGTAGATGAATAAATATGCATTATTTTAAAATATTTGCTAACATTTCTTAGGAGCAAGGGACTGTGGAAAGTCACATAGCAGGATGATTAGACAGCAGCTTCTAAAACAGATTGTCAGGAATCTAATCCTTGCTTCACTCATTACTGGCTATGTGACCCTGCTTCTTCTGTCCCTCTGTTTTCCATTTATAAGATAGTCTCCATATGGTTGTTGGGTTGTTGAGCAGTAAATGAGATTTATATATATACATATATATATATATACATATATATATGTCAAGTACTCAGAACAATAACTGGTTGTTAGATGCTGTCTCTAATAAATGTTAGTTAATATTTATTTCAAAGGAGAAACCAAAGAAATAAGAGTCCCTGTGTAAGACACAAGGATAGCTGAGGCAAACTATACGCCAAAAGAATTTTAAGTGTAAGATTTCAGATAATAAGTACTATAAGAAGTCTGAGCATAGATGATTTTTTTTTTTTTTTGCTTTGAACTTAAGGGGTCAAGAGTTACAGAAGAGGGTATGAAAAGGGTAAATTTTTCTCTTTGGGATGTAGCACTGGACAGTCAGGGCAGGCTGGATAGTCAGGGCAGGATGGTGATATGATAAGAACACCAGCGCAGCTTATGCTAGCCTGTAGAGACACTGAGCCTCAGTCCAAACACTTAGCCATTCAAGCTTAATGACCATCACCAAGGTAGAAAAAGTAGGAAATACCTACAAATAAGACTCGTTTTAAGTATTACATTAAGGAATGCATGTGAAATCACCCAAATAAAATGCAAAAAGCTTTGTTTTCTACATGACCTATTTGTTGGGATACTGGCAAGTATGCGATTCCACACCTCATTCCTTTAAATACTGAGCATATAATATATAGTGGAGACTATACAAGAAGCTGCTAAGAAAGTTAGGGGCATGACAAAGTTCTGCCTAGAGAAAGTTATGGGCCAGTAACAGAGGCAGGTGAAGGGAGAACACCAAATGGGCGGTAAGCACTATTATGGAACTATGAATAGTGCTCAGGGAGCCCTTGGAAAGAAATCCCTAACTCTGCAAAATAGGGAAAAGTGAATATAAAAATCTTTTTATAGCAACAGCGAAAAGAAAGGGGTGGGGTCAGTAGAAAATGGTATTTTGGGTAAAAAAAAGGTGTTCAGGCATTTTGCTGGGCTTTTTGCATTTGGAGAAAGCTGGGCTGACAGTCCATCCCCAACACCCAGGGACTAGCTGCTAGGTAATTACTGGGTGACACAGGGGAACAAATGTCTACGAAAATTACATCTTTACATATAGTACTCAATGCCTAACCCATCGCATTAACAACATCAAAATGATGGGTGCTGTGTCCACCAGGGGCTGGGGGAACACAGGCGAGGACCTAAAGGTCAGTCAGCCGCCATGCTACCCCAGGCTGGACCTGGTCTCCTCTTGGAGACGGTGGGTTCTCCGAGTCGAGGTGGGGGCTCGGGCAGGGGAAGTTCGGAGCCGCCGGAGCGGCAGAAGCACGTGGGCTTAAAGGGGTGGGAGGACGCAGACGGAGGAGTAACGGGTGGAAGTGTCAAAGAGGAAGGAGTGGAGGGCCGCCGAGGTGACAGGGTGTGGTCTGTGGGGGAGCAGGCGGGCCGGGGGAGGAGGGCAGCGAGCCGCATCGGGGCTGAGGAGGCAGCGGGGAGCGTGCCTGCGTCGCTCGGTGCGGGGACAGCGAGGAGCGCGCGCGGGGCCGAGGGGCGAGGGGAGTTTCCCGTGCTCGCCAAGTGGAGCCCAGCTCGGAGCTGCGCCAGCGCCGTCAGCCCTGGGCCCGCGGTGCCTGACACCTGCCGAGTCCGAAGCGGGAGTCCGCCCCCGAGTAAGTCTTGTCTTTTCTCTCAATTCTCCTCGGCCGCCTCAGCCTCTTTTATCTGCGCAGCTCGGAGCTCCCGTTGCGGGGTGCCGCGCGAAAAGCGGACCAGAGAGCTCCGCCGGCGTCCGGGGATGCTCCAGCCTGCGAGCGCGCCCCGGCCGGCACCGGGACCCGGCCGAGAAGCCCCGCCGCCGGGTGGCCCTGCGCAGCGCAGACGGAGGCGGCGGCAGAGTTGTTGGCACGGATGCGACCCGTCTTTTGTGTCCTGCCGGATCCCAGAGCCGGGCCAGGCCGGGGAGGGAGCGGGGGTGGGGAAGCAGCGGAAGCCACTTTATGGCTCCTGGCCCCACCTCTTGCCCCCACCCCAAATCCTTCGGGATTTCAGCCTGCCGCGGACTCGGGCGCAAGTGAGTGCCTACGCGCCCTTGCCGGGCCAGTTGATTCGGGTGGGCAGCGGCCGGACCACTATGCCGCCCCCTCTTTTGGTTTTCTTTTTAGACACAGCATCTTTAACAGCGGGTGTTGAGAAGGAGGCTGACTGGGTGCTCACGGGAGTCCGGGTGTGGGATCCATCTACCTTCTTGCTTTTCTCGGGGTCTGGAGGGGAAAGGACGGGCCGCTGAAAGCCCCGAAGCTCCAGCGTCCCGCGCTGGCGGGCTCGCGCGCGGCCGGCGAGCAGGCTTTCGCTGGGTGGGTCCCTTGTCTGGCTCATTGTTCGTGGTTACTGTTCTTGGGGCCGGGTTGAGCGACAGACGCCGCTCAAGGGGCCAGACGTACAAGTGACGACTCGGAGGAGTGAGGTCAAGGGTGCCTGGAGGAAATGGTTTACCAGTTTGGAAGCGGACTCCTTGGAGCTGGGAGGGCAACGGTAGTCAGTGAAAACCGCTGCTGAGTGTGAAACTTAGATCTGACTCTAATTCACGGAGACAGCCTAGCGAACTAAACCTTCAGAAACACGGCGCGATATTTTCCCCATTGAATTTGTTTACAGAGTAAGGAAGATGGAGTTTTAAGTGTTATTGGCAACTGGCTGCTTTCTGTTGCTAGCACCTGTTTCTCTTCTAAGGTTTTTGGGTGGGGTTTATTTTTTTTTCCACCCTTTCCCCCTCTTTTGGGGGAATATGTGTTTATCATTCTCTGTGCCTTCAGCCGGTCGAGTTGCATGGTTTTGGGAAAAGAATCCGTTTTTAGGACAAGTGCAATTTCCACTTTACAAAGGGCCAAGCGCTGGTGTAGACATTGCTCCCCCACTCTAGCCGCATGCTAACATTCATGGAGGCAGACATGTGCACCCAGAGTCAAAGGGAACCAGCTATCCCTAATTGGAGACGCCAAAACATAACTAGTGTATGCTCATTTTGTTGAATACTAGGACACTCGTTTCCCCAATTCCCTAAATTGCAGTGATACCTGATAGACATCAGGTATATCGTGGTGTCTGTTCCCTAGCCCACTACAAAGGAAGGTGCATTTTCCTGAGAAGGATGTTTCTTCTTTTAGGAAGGTCCATGAATAGTAATCAGAGTAAGCTGATCCAACAAGAGAGAGTTTTTAAAATTATATATATGTATGTATATGTGTGTATGTATATGTATATTTTTATGTAAATCCCAGTAGTTACTAACACACCTAACCGCGCTAGTTATATTTACTTTGACTTGCCTGATGGACTTGCTAAGTTCATCAGTCTGCTGAAACCTGGAATTCCAGACCCCAGGAGAAATAATATGAACACCTCTCTCTGACCATAGTCTGATTCCACGAAACCATTGCAATAGAGTGTTACTTAGGGTATTGAAAGCTGTGTGATTTATTCCAAGGAGGGAAGCAAGAGTTAGGTAGAAGAAAATAAAAATGGAAGGCCTGAGTAGACATCCAAATCATACTCATAGTTCCACAAATATATATGTGGAAAGTATAGTATGTTCTCTCTCCTTTTATCACTTAGTATTTAGATCCTTAATGCTTTTTCATCACAGTTTTGGTGCCTCTTGTTAGTGAGGGATTGCTTTGAAAAAAAGGTTATATATTTTCAGTCTCATTATTTTAGATTTTCAATATCCATAGTGTTCATTGAATACACAGACCTATCTTTTATACAGTTCTATTGTCTGTCTCTGCACACACCATGTCCAGCTTAGTATGGGACCACAAGAGCAATGAATCAACCAGGTTCTAATGAAGATTAAAATATGAAAGGTATCCACAACTATGTATAAAATGTATACTTATTTAACCATCTTCCCACATGACCAGTTTTAGCTACTTGCTTGTTCATCTTCTGAAGTCTCCAGACTCCAAATTCTTACCCAGATTGATTGCTACACTAAATCTTGATTGTACAAAGAACAGAACTTAATTATTTTGGTCTCATTTATCAGTCAGCAATGTTTAGTGTTGCCAGTTTAATTATATCATTGAAATATGCATGACTTTAAAGTATGTTGAGAAATTGAGAAAGGTCCTTTTAAACTTGTTTCTTCATAAAAAAAAAAAAGTCCTTGTGAAGCCATAATTTCACTGCTGTGAGGCCCTCTAGCCATTTGTGTTTATGGAGTTTACTCTTCCACAGGAAGAAAGAACCATTGTTTTGTTGTCTAGGAGCTGAAGGAAGATGGAAAGTGAGAAAAGAAAATCAAGCACTTTAGAATGCTATTATTTCCTCTACTTGGGAAAATGTTATTTTAAGTAAATAGTGATTATTTTCTTAAAGATATACTAAAACCTTATTAAAAGATCCTGAGGAAAAGAAATTTTCAGGATAGAAATGCTGGCTGTTACTAAATACTCATAAAAGATTGGTGCATACAAGCACATGCATTTTTGAACCAATCTCATAGGACATTTTCTTCTTTCAATAGAATTTTGAAATCTTATTAAGTCATTGTTATTAAAACATTGAAATCTCATCAAAATCTATATTTAAATATACTGTCTTTTTGCAAGTGCTTTAATTGTAATAGCCTGTTTGTTGAGATTAAAAAGAACATCATTGATGTCATGGTGTGCTTTGCATTTTAAAATAGTAGCTAATGAATTACAAACATTCATTACCCCACAACCACTTGCTGAAATTTCTCAGGACCCCCAAATAGAGAATTATTTGTGCTATATACTTACTATCATTCAGACCCCTTCTGAGTTCTTGTTGATCCCCTTTTCTTCTTCAAAATTAATTGCCTTTTAAATTAATACCCTGTTGGTTCTGAATCTTTTGTTATTTTTCTGTGTCATAAGTTTATCTGTAAATATCTTCAGCATTGTCTGGCTAGGGAATTTGCTGTTGAAAATGTGGGAATTAAGCTTAACACAGAGAGGGCAGGTTTCACCTCAATAAAATTCATTGAGGAATACTTCTTTGACCTTTAAAAGTCCAAGCTTTATAGCACAAAATTTACATTTGGGTAATTCAGGTACTAACTTCACATATGGTAAGGCAAACAGTAGAAGTAATAGAGTATCACAATGTCTTTGCTTTGTTGCATATGAATGGTGACTTTAATTCCATTTATTTTCTTCATACTAAGTAATGAAAACTACCCACTGCTTTCTTATGGTTTTTTCTTTCTTTCTTTTTGGGCCAGGAGGGGTATTGGTGGGAGGGGAGGGAGCACTGTTTTATTTATGTAACAATGAAAGTTGTCAGTGCTTATTTTGGAAAAGTTTTATTTAAAAAGTTCAGTTTCTTCTGTGAATTTAGTGCTTATTCAGTGTTTACTGAGGAAGATGGTTTGACACTCAATTTTCATAACCAGATGCAACCAGAAACAGATTGGTTAAGTGATTCAAATTAGTGCACTTAAATCTTAAATTTAGTTTTCCGTCCCATAAACTAATATGAAGAAAAGCATTCAATTAGGTTTTATTTTTAATAATCAATATTCATTTAGATTATCTCGAAAATGGAGATGAACAGGATTAACAAAAATGTAAACATTTATGAAATGAGGATATAAGGGACTGCAAATTAATGATTGTATATACTTTTAATATGTAGCTCCCCCCACCCCCCCGATGAATTAGTATTTTTAATCTTAGGGGTGATGTGAATTTCTTAACTGATCACATTTTGTCTTTGACCCCTAAAAACCTTAGAGCCAATCAGAGATCTAATTTATTGATCATATAAGGCTCTACAGAATGCATTTGTGTGTTATCTTTATGAATGACCTTATCTTGTTTTACTTACATATTTTCTCTGTCAAGATGTCCTTTTTTTCATTGTGGAAGAAGACAGACCATCAAAAGTAATTTGAATAAGTGTTTAGAAATACAATTAAGTCTGTAAATATCATTAAGGTCTAATATTGCAAATGCTAAGGGAATGTCAGGGAAACTATTTCTGATGCTAAAGATACTTATAATCTAGCTGGATATAGAAGCCATAAACACATAGCAGATTAGCTAATAATGATTCAATGTATATATACACATCTGTTGCATTAAATTGAACACCTAGACCTTATCTTTAATGATTCTCAGCTTCCACTTTCTAGAAAACACTATTAATAGTACCAACTGGTAAAGCAAAGTAACCAAATATTTTCATTAGAAAGAATTCCCCTCTGGGTATACTGAACTCCAGATAGTCTGAGGATGATGTGAGGATGAAAATAAATGTTGAAAAGTCATTGTCATTCTGTGGTAATGGACTGGAGACTTCCAGACATTTATTTTTCCTTTCTCTTCTTTCTCAGTCTCCTACTGGCTTTTCTACTTGCTCCCCAGTCAGCCAGTAGCTAGACCTGACTGACAAGTGTGGCAATTCCAGTGTCAAGCTAAACCCTACCAGACTCCTCTTATGAAATTTCTTGCTATGTAAATACAATATTTGTTTTAAGTACCATAAGTACTTAAATACAGTAGTTAAGTTTAAGTGCCCACTGGTTGTTTCCCTTTGTACTTGAATCAACAACCATTTTCAGCTTTTAGAAGGGACTACAGCAAAACCAGCAAAACCATTCTTTTTCACTATAGAAAAACTCAGGGAAAGAAGAAAAAAAAAAAGGTAAAACCTGTGGGGAGGGGGGAATAACTAAATTATTGACCCAGGGTGACATATTTATGGCTAAGACCACAAACTCTGAATTAAACTTCCAAATTTAACCAGCTACCTCTGGGTATAAATCTGATTCTCATCTTCTCTGTCTCCCACACACACACCATTTTTTTCAGACATCTCAATTATAGTTAGTGTTAAAAATAATTTAAAGTCTAAAACACAGATTTGTTGTCTTGAAGTGAAGCAAACTATCAGACTATGGTAAACACTGATCATTTAAACTTGGTCTTTAAAAAAGCACATTGGGTACAATAAAATACATGTAGTACACTTACTGTGCTTCCACTTATGATATAAATAGTGCACAGAGCTTTAAAATTTTCATGGAATTAATGTTTCACTGACATGCACATTAAGTACTGACATCTAAGGTGCATGCCATATGATTGTTCCTAATTGGCAAGTGAACCTCAGAGGGTTATTTATAGATTACATTGCAACAAAGTGCTGGAGTAAATTCTCATTGTGCAGTTCAATTCAAATTGATGTTTTGGCTTTGATTCTCTTTACTTTTTTCACATCCTTTTTGATCTCTAAAAAGTCTCAGAAATAAGCTACCTA